AGTCTCTAAAACAAAAAAAAGTCAAAAAAATATGTTTGACAAGGATTAAATTTACTCATATGGGATTATATTTTTTAGAAAAAATAATAAAAATTTAGATTAAAATTATTATTTTTTTCATTTCCGTTAGAGGAAAAGGGTATATGTGGGCCATTTGTTTACAAGTAGGGGTATATATGAGCCACTTTTATAACAAGGGGTATATCAGCTCTAAATGACAAAGTTGAGGGGTATATCAGATCCTTTTCCCTTTCTGGTATAAAATTTAAAAATAGTGTCTAATCATGGCTGTATTATCACTTCTTTAATTCAAATTCGTATATTATATTTATTTATCACGGTTTGATTTTTTGATGATCAATTCAGTTTTCTTTAAATGGTACTGTTTGCAATAAATTTTAAAGTGACAGAATATAAATTAAATTCAAAAATAAAATATGAAGAAACATAAATTTATTGATCAAGATAGATTGCGAGTAAAAATTCTGTTGATTCTTTGATTCTACTCTCTTAAGATTTAAACATGACGTTAGTGGCGTATTTCTCGAACTAGGATGATTTAGATTTGACCTCTCTATATGAATAATTCATCAATTTGCGGAGTATTTGAGATCTTGATCTCTTTATGAAATTTACGAGATTTTTCTAAGAGAATTTTATACACTTATATAGGCATAAACTAGAATTTAATAACCTCCAAGAATCATACTTGAATTAAACACAATTTATAAAGTATCGAATTTAACTCATCTTGTACTAGAGTCCTACAAAATTTCAATGTCTACAGGTACTATCCAATTTTGTTACATTTCCATAATAATCCAAGTCTTTACACCATATATTATATATATTATTGAGTTATATCTTTATTTTTAATTTCTGCATGTCTACAATTCGTCTAAATGATGTTTTAAAGAGAGAGCGTGAGGCTGGATGAGTCATATAAGTCTCATGGATTGAATCTTTAATTTTATAATTTATAATATAGAAAAATGATACAATAGCACAAAAATTCATTTTTTATGACATATACATTACTAAAAGGAATTTCTAGAAAACAAAACTTCTCAATTTATTCAGAAGTAACAAGAAAAATGATATAAAACAGCTACTATGAGAAAGTAATCAATTTTAATAAACACATAACTTTTTAAAAAAATATATCACTTTCATGTTATAGAATTATAACTCTGAAATAAATGATTAAAAAACTTTATTTTAGTTATAATTTAAACATCCGGTACTCCTTCCTAAATAAAAACAACATATTTTCAAATAACAGATATATAATATGAAATATGATATTGAAATATAACACAAAGAATATGAAGATAATGACAAGTGAAGATGTAAAATTCACTTATCAGTTGAGTTCCTCTCAATCTAATTTTCTAATTCGTGAAGATGAAATTATTTTTTAACATCATTCATTCAATATTAAAGGACAACGGATAAATATATTTTGAACTATCTTAAATGGTATGAAGATATTTACCGTCACATTTTTAAGATATTGGTGTTTCGACTGTCCAAAAACTATAGCATACATACTCTTTATACTAACGGACATACATGTGTCATAATCTTATCCATTGACTCGACGTTGGATCAATGCATAAGATTGCAACACATGTTCCTCTTTAGTCTTTTGTTAGAGTGAAGGACATATATATACTCTAGTTTTTGAACAATAGAGATACCAATGTCCCAAAAATATGACGAAAGACATTTGTGTATCATTTACAATAGTTTGAATGTACAGAAAAAATCTCATTTGGCCAGAATGATATTTTTTCTATCTTATTTCACCTTTTAAAATACTTTTACCCTTTTAACTTTAATACCTTCTGATTAAAAAATTAAAAAAAATTAATTTATTTTAAATAAATTTTCTAATCATTTAGCACTTTTCCAATTGTATATTTATTTTTTCCCTTTATTAAAAAACACTAAATTTTAACTCTCAAAATTCCGGGTTTTTGACCCCAGACAACATAAAGTAGCATAGTAGCTGTGTTAATTAATTCATACATTCAATATGAACATTGATACAATGCACCATTTTTTAATAATCAACTAATTAAGTGCACCATTTTTTAATAATCAACTAATTAAGGATTGGGAACATTGATTTTTTTTCATCCAAGAACCATATAGATTTTCTCTGATCCCACTATAGATTGCATGCCTACATTAACAGGAACAACACAAATTGAAGATGCAAATTTCCCACTTCCATTATTTTTTGTATACATAGTTGACAACTTTATTTTTAAATTAGTATACTATTGTTACAAAATTAGGGTCAGATGCAATCTAATTTACCTTTTACTTTTATCTAATCTCTCTCTTTGTTATATATGTGATACGTTTTTTCTTTTAATCTGATAACAAAAATGTCATTTGTTTATGATTTAAAATAATCTGAC